CCCGATATTCACCTCGCCTTCGGCGACGAATAATTGTTAAATATTTGGATGACTTTTGGTTGAAAGTCGCTGTATTTAAAGAATTGATTATTAATCTTAAGTTTGACAATTGTTGTTGTTGTTGTTGTCTGCACAGAGAAACACTTTTCAAGCTGTTCTCGTCACCAATGGTCGTCATTCGTTTGTCATTTACAACTACGCTAGAATAGAGTGGTTATCAGGAACAGTATCAGATGGAGTACCAGCACAGGTATGGGCTTATCGTTTTATAACCTAAACACTAATAAGATTTCGTCCCCTAAAATCTCCCAAAAATGCACTGCAATGCAAATTCGTCCCAGTTTTTTCCTCAACCTCGGAAGTTAATGAAATGTATGTGCTGCAATCCACGTTTGTGGAGTATTCCAGAATTTGACAGCTAGAGGTACTTTACCAAACCCTTCGTACAAAAACTTTTCAATATCTGATAGTCAAACAAGATAGATAAACACACAAGAAAACGATAAAAATGATTAAGGTCTAACCTCCATTACAGTGAAGACACTCGAACCATGAACACTTCAAGGTTTTTTTGACGTTTTTCATAATTATCCAATCAAAAAATAGAAACGAAGGAATCAAAAAAATCGCCATCCAATCACAACAAACGGCGCCATTCAATCACAACAAAGTGCAAACTTTCAATAATTTACAGAAGTAAAACAAAAATTTCTTAGCTGTTATGAGATATCGTAAATTTTCAAAAACTTTAACGGCAAATCACAACCAAGAGACTGATTGGATTATTCGAGTAATGTTCAAAAAACCTTGATTTGTTCATGGTTCGAGTGTTCGATTATTCATTTTCATTTTTCATTTCCAGTTTCATTAAACAATATACTTATATACTTTCAGTATAAGTCGCAGAATTACATTTTTTACAAGCAAAATGTTTCAGGAAGAGTTGTGGCACGGCACAAGGATTATTGAGTGATAAAACATTATTTTTTGTGGTGTGGTTTTAATGCTGGAGATGGTCTAATCGCTGAAAAATGTGTAATAATGAATTATTATAATGACAAAGGCATAACATTTTGCAAAAGAGTCATAGCACGACACTGAGAAGAAGTCTTGACATTATCTTTCTTTTAAAGTGTGGTTTCAATGCTGGAGATAATAAAACATACTTCACGATCAAAGGATCAAGAACAAAAGAAGTGCTGAATCTAATAAGAACAACTAATGTGAACAGACCTGGTGTTTGGATGTTCCAGGTTGATAACGCTGAGATTCAATCTCAAGGCTGCAACACAAAAGGTAACGTCTATCTCGGGAAGCAACTATTTTTAACTGCAGGTTTCCATAACAACGGTAGTGTTAGTAAGATTTTTTTAGCTCTGAAATAATTAAAATTTATCAACTTCATCGGCTTTATTGCGGGACGTTTCGAGGATCCGTCATTTTTGTCGCGGGTYGGAAATTKAGAATTTAATTYATCAAAYTYATCGCTTTAAATGTTTTCCCCCTCCTTTTGTTTGTGCTTTTATGCACTTTACGATAATGTTTGCCTTTAAAAAAAGCTTCGTTTTTACGAACCTCAATCACTTTGGCATACGCTAATCTCATATGTCATAAACTGACTGATTATGAATAAGAAATGAGGAAAKAGAATTTCCAATCAGTCACCCAAGAGAAGTCTAAAAATCGGATACAGTTAAAATCGTCTGCATCATAAAATTTAAGTGTTAGACATTTGATAAGCAATATACAATATTCACGTTTAATATGTACGGGCTTTACAACGGCTCCACATTATAACTGATGTCCRTACAAATCGGCCGCTCATATTTTAAATATTACTAAGTATATTGATGGTTTTCAATCATTCCCAAGAGAATTAAATAACAAAAGACGCGGCGGCCATGTTGGAGGACATAACAAAATAATTCATTGACAATTCTTTTGTTAAGTTCCTCCAACATGGCCGCCGTGAAAACCATCAATATGCGGCCTATATTTTGCTTTGCCTAACTTWATTTGTTTTTCAGGAAGGCTTACTATATCTCCAAGACAAACATTGATGCTAGGAGGCGAACATATTTACATTGCCGGCCCCTGTTTTGACAAATTAAAAAAAACAAAAATCGTTTGTAATTTTGGTGATAAACAAAAAGTCTCGGGATTTTATATAAACGAGGTTAAAGCCAAGTGTAATGCACCAATGTTCAGTGAGACAGGGCGTATACAACTGAAGGTTTCAATTGATGRTGGGAACACTTATCCATTCCAGGGGTTTATTCACTATGGTGAGTTTTAATACACTTGATTTTKTTGAGGTTTTTAACTATGATGTCACGCCATTAAAAAATGCAAAACACAAATCGGGCACGTTCCTC